TTTTTTTTTACTACTATGAATTAATTCTATAATGCCCCCAGGCATATGTATTTATCCCATCTTCCTTTCTTTTTCTCTTATCATCTCTAGAACTTAAAGTTGTTTTTCTTATTCTGTGTGTATACAAATTGTGAATCTTAGATCTAAACATCAACATGCTATCACAAAATGTCTTCTTTTCAAATAGACATTGCTTATAACTATTTATAGTCAACTTATTTAACGCAGACTTTTTAACACCTTTTGATTTTTTGATGCATCCACCCCCCTCAAGAGACAATGAATACATTTTGGCTCTAAGACCAACAAACTCCAACATTCTTTTTCCAATGTTTTCGTCTTTCATCATTCCCAAAACTTTCTTATTACACCTTCTGATCCCATATTTTTTTGATAACTCCTCCGGATAGTCAGATGTATCAAATCTCATTTCTACATCTTCCGCAATGTCTTCAAAGAAATCTTTAGTATCAATAGAATATATGAATGAGTATCCATATAATTCAATGAAACTTTTTCTTGATACTTTGGCTTCATGTAATCATAATGAAAATCGTACATTTGCCATTTTGACAGTTCGAGAACTGTAAAACCTAAGTACATAGGCTTATCATACACATTATGGAGTCGATTCATTTGAATCGCATACATATCTTCTGCAAATTGTGCTGAACTATGGAAATTGGCCTTTGCAATGAGGGCACGAGCACCCAATCTATTCCGATTAGTGGTTTCCCACGATGTGACCAGTTTGATGTCTTTACGTTTTTCTACGTTTTCCATCGTTTTTACATAGACAGCGTTATTGAATAATTTGAAAAAGTCTTTTTCAAAATTATTTTTTGCTTGTGTTCTATGATATGTATTTAAGTCTATGTACTTTTTCAGCCAGGGAGACTGCTTAAACTCTAAAACTTTGTGTATTTTTGTTAATACTAAGCCATTTCTAAGACATTGCTGAAGATTTCTATAATGGATAGGATACTTTATTTTTGACCTAAGGTCAGCACCAAGTTTTTTAACTTTAGCCTCCGGAGTAGGCTTTTGGTTTGATGGGCAAAAAGGTAAATCATTATGGTAATCGTGAAGAGAGTCTGGATACAAAAGATCCACGTCGAGAATGTACCCAGACTCTGAATTATCTTTGATAGATGAAATATCAAATGCATTCAATTCTGCATCATTCATCCATCTAAAGCCGGAATATGGGAGATATTGCGACATTGCCCAACCATATAAATTATTGGCGTCTAAATACATCAGGAATTCTGATTGCTTAGTGCTGTCATAATTCTCCATATACATATGGTTGGCTTTCGAATAGCGCTTGCAGCACTGAACTAATCCACCACGAAAACCATTTTGAATGAACCTATAGATATTAATGTCAGTTAATAATTCTAGTTCTATTTTTGTGGTCTTAAACATTGCATCCCATGAGAGACCGGGTGTAGTGTAATAATGGGCGGGATCTAATGAATAAATTTTCTTGCAAATTGTACGACAATTTTGAAAGACATCCGACAGTAAAAGAACACCAGTCTTAAGATACAATTCCATGTAATCTTTAAGACTTTGACATCCAAAAACTGTCCAGACTTTTTGAGCGTGGGAATAGTCTTCGACTGAACATTCTGTATTAGATAAACTGTTGAAGAATTTATCTCTGGGGGGGAAGAGCTGACTCATCTAATCTGCTCTCTGAGTCAATATACTCATAAGGAAATACCCCCTTCCTACGTATTAGATGAAATTCATCATCTAATGGGAAAAAGGCTTTTACGTTATTGAAACTGGATAATTTATTTAAATATTAAATACGAAATGTCCGCGCTCCTCACTCTCCAGCAACATAAGGCTTATGTGGGTATTCTTCTCCATCTCCGTCACATACAATGGTCCGTTGACTGCATTGGACTGCTCATCGAAACCAAAAACACTAGATGCTGTTAAGACACTCATATTAGACTGATGAGATTTAATTGTCATCAGCAATTCATCATCGGTGAATTTTATATACTCTGCAAAGAGTTCAATATTTATTTTGCAGGCTGTGTGAGTTATCAAAATATTTTGAATTAGTGGAAGCATTTCTTCAGCTGCTTCACTCAGAAACTCTATTGGTTCGACCAAATTTGTGTGATTATTCTCGAAATTAGTTTCACCTGACTATTTACAGGCGTAAAAACGAGCATCTTGTGGGCATTGGAACGAAGATGCGCGCTCCACTTTGATGATGCAATTTGTATGTTGCATGCGGTGCAGACCCTGGCTTGAGTTGGTACTCCATTCGAGATGATATTGGATGCGCAAACCTGTAAACCCCATTTCCGGTAAACTAATTATCAAATTATATTTTTCTTCTTAGCTCCAGATTCACTTCATCGGTAACGTCGCTCGGCCTTTTCCTCGGCTCACGGGCCAGCTAAGCTTCACTTTCACTACTAATGACACTTGAAAGATGTTCTTTTACCAAATCGGCAGGACTACTATTTGTGGCAGCGATGGACTCAGCATAGTAGGATGCTCATTTACTGTCCGACTAAACATTCCTCCTAATTGTTGGCTAAGGCCACCTGTTCAATATATGGAAAATTGAAATATTGTTAATACTCAGAATTTCAAGTGTAGAATCTCCTGACTATTTTAATTTCTTATCTATTAATTTTTATTTCCATCATGCATGCCTCATTTGTTTCTACAAATGTGCTTCGCAGTGTAGTTTAATCAGGGTGATATTTGTTCTTATATGTCAGCCTAGTTTTATTCATTTTGGCGCCATTTGTTATGCCTTGCCTGTTGAAAGCACCAATATATCGCTCAGGGGTAGTTCGACCGCGTTGTATTGGGGGGCAAGTTAACAAAAAATTTGTATTCTTTTATAAATTAAAAAAAAAAAACAAATATTTCCCTCTAACCAGTCTGCTCGCTGCTGTGTTGGCTGTGTGGATGTTGTACAGCCTGCGTGTCCCTCCTTTTCTGATGATTCCTATTCTAAATTCCCTTTCCCTTTCAAAATTATTCCTTTCTCGCTTGTTTCTTATGCCATCATCGCACCCGATCTCATTAATTTACCACCTCATATTCATTTTTTTCTGACTACTTAATTTACAACTCATGTGTTACATGTGACATCGTGGTCCCTAACATTTTGTTGGCCAACACTAAATTCGGTTATATATATTTAATACAATTTTATCTATTTACTTAATTTAAAGCTTACAAAATATTTATGATTTTTCTTTTCTTTTTTTTGACTTCAAAAGTGCGCATCACTGAGTGACAAAATGAGCATCTCTATTGCATTGGTTAGGGCCGATCAGCTGTCTATGACTCAATCCGCCGCAATTAATTAGGCGGGAACAAACTCACTGATGTGCTGGTATAATCCGAGTCGTCTCTGGGTTTCCGGGCTTCCCTTTCCTGGTTCCTGATTCCAGTTGTCCCTGACGATTTCCTCCATGGTGGCAGCGATGGATAGATTCGCCTGTTGCTGCCGCCGGTTTGTTTGTTTTTATTTGTTTATTTTTTTTTACTTTTGTGTTTTATATTTATTTGTTTTATATTATTTGTTTTAATATATAATTACTTCATAATTTAATTATAACTAATTTATTTAAATTTTTTATTTTTAAATAAATTTTTCTTCAGCGCATACGCATGTGGTCCCCTCTCTATTTCTTACTCCTTTTCTTTTTCCTTTTTTTCCCTCCTCTTTGTTCTCCTGAAGATGGTTTTCCATTCGATATCCCTAACCTAACCTGAAGACTAAAAATAACTAAGGCAGCGCTTTTTATTCACAAGCCACAACTGAAATCACAAATGCCTGCATATGAATACATACATACATACATACATACATACACACATACATACATACAAACAACTTGATGGAATGTGTCCAATTGATCCGTAATGCAATGCGTCAATGAATATTATATATCACTAAGAAGCAACTGCTCTTCAAATTGTGGCTTTTCATGCTATCGGAAATCTAAATGTATCGACTTTCTATCATGTTTTTATTAACTGTAAGAAAAGTACAGTTGGTGGCAAAATAATATCTACTAATTAATCGCTTAGCTACTAATTATTCCTTGCATGAACCTTTCGAGACAATAGACTTTATCATGCAATTACGAGTCCCGTACTTCCATCCTTAAGAACTCAATTTTAAGCGTCGTATCTCATGAATTTTTTTCGCATGCGTTTGTGGTTGGGCATCTAAAATAATTCGAACTTATTTTTTTGGGATTTTCTGAGTTTTACTTAATCTATGCAACAAATGTTAAACCAATTTGCATTTAAATACCCCCAGAAATCTTTTAATTATTTCTTATTTTCTTATAATTTAAATTTAAATATTAAATTATAGATTTTATTTACTTTAATTCATTTTTTAAATTTTGTATTTTTCTAAATCGACTGATATTAGTTGACATGAAATAAATAAATAGACAGAACAATACCCTAATTATTGACTTATACTACGCGATAAAAGCAATTATTAAAGCGTATGGCATTTGCCAATGACTATACTAAACACCGGTTCCGATCACCGAAATTAGGCATCGTCGGGCGCAGTTAGCAGTTCGGTTGTCAGACTATAGGAGGTAAATAATTTAAGTTTAAAAATGTTCATATACTACGCTCAGATAACTAATCAATTACTCAACCAGTTTCGTGAATATCAATAGCATTATATTAACAAAATAGTATTTAATGACTCTAAATACTTAAAATTTATATTTATAAATTTCCACCCTCTCTGACATGTGTACTGACTTCAGCAAAACGACTGAGATAGGTTCGACAAGATAGTAATTATTAAAATTCATTTTTAAAATAGATATCATTAAGTGATCTTAGTTTACAAATTGTATATGGCATGAAATGACGTGTGCATAACAATTTGAACACTTTGTCCATCGCAAGTGCCAAATTTGCAACATTTTCAGTATTGATATCGCCTTAAGTGAAACCATTAATAACATTATATGTTTGTACTTTTAAATAATAATATTTAATGCGTAGAATAATATATAAAAAGATGTAGTATTATAGCTGTTCGATATCGATGAGAACAATATCAGTCCAATTTCCGATGTTTCTCTCTCTCAAATATTAATATACGTTGATAAACTAAAGACTGCAGATACGTTATTCATTTTTCATGCCAACAATTAGTTCTTATCATATAAACACCTAATTTAACAACACATTCTTAAAACTTAAACGGTTCCTCGTCGAAATCAATATCATATAAGACTGGCGGCAGCATGACCTCAAATACTTCAGTAGACTTCTCCACAGATTCACTTAGCTTATGTTCCAAAGACATAAGTGCAAATTCATCCTGGTCCAAGTTGGGATAAGCGGGCACATCGGGCACCGTAAGATCATCCTCAGCGAATGTATTGTTTAGAAGTTTATCAATAAGTTCCTTACTTAGCAATGGTTCCATCAAATTTTGTGAAATTGCTAAAAAAAAAATTTAAATATTTGTTATATATTATATACAAGTGTGTGTTTATTCAGTTTTCGATTGAATAATAATTTTTGGTGACTCTAAAACTGACTTTTTTGGAAATGAATTTTTAAAATGGAAAAGCTTTAGATTTTGTGAAAGATTTAGATAGAATAGTCAATTTATAATTTGCTTATGTGAAAAAGATTATTAGTTAATCCAATTATATTGAAAATATAAATGATTGTGTAGACATAAATAAATTTTGTTTATTATTTATTTAAGTTTAAAAAAATCAGAACAAGCTGATTAAATATTATTTTATGAAAATATGTTACTTAATCGAGTTATTGAATAAGTAAATATTTGAAAATATTTCAGGAACCAAATTGTTTTAAAATCAAAATAATCGCATTCATCATTAATCACAATTTCTCTGTACTATTGTCAAGTGTTTAAAATTTTCAATAAGAGGTGACTTGTTAATTTGGAAAAAAACGGAGAAAAACTTACGTTTTTGGCAATTACGCAAACATTTCTGAGTTGGAAATTGCATGTAGTCAATCAGATCAAGGCTATCGTTGGGATCAGCCGATCTCACATAAAGATCATTGGCAGCATTAAATTCCGCTGCTTTCCACTGTCCCCCCTCAATTAACAGCCCAGCATCCCGCTTCTTCTGATGCTGCTCCTGCTGTCGTCGATACTGCTTCTGCAGTGTTTCTTTGCAGAGCGACAATTTTGGCGCGCAGCTCAATGGCCATTTTGTGTTTTGGCCTTTGAATGGCGTCAGATGCGATTTCTGGCTGTTGATAACGTTGTCCAGTTTGCTCAAAACGCTCTTTTTGCCAGCGCTTTCGCCAATCGCTTTGCGAGCGGATCTTGGCAGCACTTTGCGCCCCAGAAAAAAAGAACTTAATGAAATAAGTAGCAACTGCAGTTTGCAAGAACTTACGGTTGGCGCCAGCATTTTCATTGTCCATCCATATTTGTGGCATGTTTATCTTCAGTTATTAAAAATTCACAGATTTGAGAAATTATAGTTAAATATTGAATTTTTTTATTGAATATCAATAGAAGCCGCTTGGTTTCGCTCAATATGGCAGGGTTGCTTTTTGACTGAACAGTGTGACCGCACGCAACTACGTATATTTGTCCAAAATGAAACTATAATGAAATAACAGACATGATTTAATACGCTCGTCAAAAGTGCTAGTAGAGCAACATTTTTGTACGCAGTTCAGTCAATTGTTTTGCTTAATCCTTTAAATATATGTACATATATATTTAGGTAACATTAGGGATATACGAAAGTGTTTCGTAGCAGTTAGCTTTCTGTAGCGATTTTCTAAAATTCAGAGTGACCATCAGAACCGTGCGCTAATATTATGTTGTACTCAAAATAGCAAATGTTAAATAACATAAAGTGAGGCAAAACTGTGTTGCTATTGCGCTCTTGAGTTCAAAAAAGACCATTGAACGGTTAGGGTGTGCGTTGGTACGTCGGAAAAAATATCGAAAAGGAAAAAAACGGGTGTCTCGCCGTTGCGTCTCGTGTGTATGTGTGTGTGTACGTGTGCTTGTGTATGTGTTGACTTAATAAATTATAAGAAGTGCAAATAATTGTCACAAAAATGCATGTGCAGCGGTAATCTTAGCAACCACCACAAATTTCAAATTTCATAAACGGCACAGCCGAAGAGCGTCAGCGCCATTTGCAAGACAAAATGGCTGCATTTCAACGCATTTAATGCGCGCACAAAAACAACAAAGCAAACAAGAGAACAACAACACAAAGCATAAGCAAATATGTAAGTATGCGTGTGAATGTCTGTATGTTACATGCAATGAGCAACGGTTAATTAGCGCCAGTGCAAAACTGTGAAATGTAAATGTAATGTTTCAATGTAAATGCTAAAATCACAGCAATAATAATTATGAAAAAAAGTGTTTGCTTATAGCGGCTGCTGCTGTGTGTGTGATTCAATGTGTTGAGTTTGTGTTTGTTTGTCCTCAGCAACAATAACAAAGTACAAGCGCATTTTGAGCATTCAACAAAAACAACAACACATAAACTATTCAATTTCAATGAGTTTGCGCTCTACAGTGCTCTTCCTCTTGCTCTTTCTCTGAGACTCGCTCTCAGTTTGTGCGCGCGCTCAAAATGTTAAGTTGAGTGGATTTTGAGATGTGTGTGTCTGTTGAGCATAAGATTTGAGATCTTTATGCTTTGCACTCGCTTTTTGAGTGCAGTTTGTTCTGTTATTTTTATTTATTTATTCTGCGAAATCATAAAACGTATTTGAACAGCCGTTAATCTAGCTCATAACCCAAGTAAATAAATATATAAATGTGTATTTACAAACCTAAATGCTCAATGCCATCCAGTGCCTTGTTCCTGTTCCTTTCACGCAACTTGAGGCGAATCATGGAACAAGAATAATATACTCAAAATCACTCGCAAGCAACAGCTGCTGCATTCTCAATGCTTCCCTTCCGTCTCTCATCACTTTCTTATCATCGTCTTGCTTTGCAGCACTAACAACAACAACAACAACAGCAAAAACATCACTTCATTTTCATTTTGCCGTATTGCGATTTTGTTTTAGGGGTTTTCTTTTCAATCATTTTTTACGCGCGCTCGAAAAAATAAAAGTAAAAAGTGAAATGTAATGCAAAAAGATCATAAATCATAGTATGTACATATAAAGTTACCTGTGTTTACGTGACGTGCTATAAAATCACAGCAAGAGGCATAAAATACGAAAAAAATATATGTATGTGAATATATTTATATGTTTATAATATTGTGAAAAGAGTTGAAAAAATGTAATAATATGAAATTGAAAATCTTAAATGGAAATAAATTTCAAGTGGAAATTAGTTGCTGTTAGTTCGATAACACGCTTATTTCGCAAAGCTACTGCCAACAAAATCGACTACAACAACAACGACTACAAATACAAAACTTGTGGATTTTAAGATTTGGATTTGGATCCCATTTGCATATAATGTCATCAACATGTGGATTAAATATTGTTTTCATGTCGATCATTTTCATTATCATCGTAAATGGTAAGTACTGAAAATATAGAACAAAAATGGAAAACAGTCAATTATATTGGCTTACCTATTAAGTATTATTATTATTTGTAGTTCATTTCGTAAAATAAGACAATTTTATTATATTTAATCACATAAATTAATTTTTTTTTTATTTAACTGCTGAAAGGTACTCAATAAAAACCATCCGAAGGAAAATCCTTTGTTGTAAAACATCAAATGATCATAAATACTTGGTAGACCATAATATTATCAATATGTTCAATCGTTCAATTTTGGTGGACAGTTTTGGTTCCGGTTGGATTCCCTGTTCAGGAATCAGCGAATGTTGAATTTCATTAACGGTTCTGAATTTGTCTGAGTTAAAATCGGCTAACAATTGCGGTTCCGTATTGAAACGCTGGGATACGTTTTGAAACAGCTATAATAAAATCACATATAAAAGTTGAGGAACTTTTCAATTGGCCTTACTATGAATGGAGAAGTATTTTGTGTTCAGCGAATTCCAAAATTTCAATTAAATATATTAAATATCATGTTTCAAAATACACAGAATGAACGAGCACGGCAAATTCTTTTTTGGGATGAGTTTATTGTCCGTCTACAGAGATTTAAGAAGTAAACATTTATCAGTGTTGAATTTTAGGTTAGTCATTCGAAACCGGAATCTGCAACTAATTTAAAATTACATTTTGTGTACGTTAAAAAATGTTTACAAATAAATTTTACTGCCTAGCCGAGTTACTCGTTCGAATGCAATTTTCTTATTTACTTTGTGTTTTTTTCTTATTTATTTTGTATTTGAAGTTATCTCCCTACTGGGTCCACATAAACAATTTAAAATCAACCTTATAGAGTTTCTGCTTCACACAGAGCGCGCTTTGTTAGTCATTTGGAATTTATTCATACATATAAACACATATTAGCTATTTGTGCTACAAACTGCGGCAACTGGTTCTTGTTGTCAAAGCCACATGTGGGCTAACAAAACGAATCCATTGTTTGTTTCACTTTTAAGACTTTCAAAGTATGTGTTCAATTTTGATTCTCCACGTTTTTAAAAGTAGTAAAAAAAAGTAGTTGTTTGTTAAATTGGCTCAGCCTTAAATAACTTTTTGAATGTCTTGAGAAGAAAACTGTTTTTTACCAAGCATTCATAGAAAAAAGAAGAACCTTTAATTCAAAATTTGTTTAACCCGGTAAAAGCTGATGGTGATTTTTGTGGTCCAAAACTGAATTCAAACTAATCCCAAGAGATTAAATGTCGCTCTATTTTCATTCCTTGTTTTGATTTTATGAATTCCATAATTCTCTGAAAAGTACATAATTAAAAATGTTTCTCAAAAATTTGTAACTATAAAAAATTGATTCATTCTGATTTTTTTTAATATTTATTTTTTTTTAATATCCCAAAATGAAGCCGAACAAAAAATATTTAGAAAGATTCGCTCATATAACTACCCTGAAACAAACCACATGAGTGGGTGCCCTTCTAACCTCCTCACTCCTCCCCCAAGCTCGCATAGAAAATCCACCCCATAAATCGTTTAGAGTAGAAATAAGTATAGCGATTAAATGCAGTCGCCAACTGTGAAAAGGGCATAAAGAACAAGGGCAAATAATTAGGAAAGTGGGTACTAAAATTATGTGAATACGTATCTACGTCCCAACCATCCTCATCCTCTCCCCAACACTTGCACACAGACTAATTATTTTTGTTGTACTCGCGTTGCTTTTATGAAAATGTTAACTTAATTTCTGCATGATTGCGCATTTATTTCAATGTTATTCCCTATGGGTCTCGGGTATATATTCTCGGGTCTCCATATTGTATATTGCAATTGTTCCTCTGTATTGTTGTTGTTACACAGTCGAGTGCTCATGTGTGTATGTGTGTGTGTGGGGGGGTGGGGGGGGGGGTGTTAATATAAATACATAAATAATAATATACAAAGGGTAATCTGTGTAATGTGTTTCATGCAATAAATATTTAAAAATCTCTGAAATGCAGGTCAAAATTTATTTTAAAGTTTCAGACCAAAAAGTTTTAAGAAAAGTAGAGAATAAATGGAGAAAGAGAGTTATAATGGAACATTTGGAAGAGGCAAATCTTGGAACCTGAGGGGTAACATAAGTTAAGCAGAGTTAATAGCCTCAAAGGATATCCGGAGATATTGAAAATTTGACTAAATGATGATTACGTAAAATATGCAATATGCAATCAAGTGACACAAATTGCAAACTGCAGAGCAAAATATTAGTATATTACATAATTATAAATAAATATATGTAATATTATTCAATTTGTGATTATTTTCACTTCATTATGCATATTATAAAAATATGTGCAGCTTAACTTTTTAGAAATATTTTTTGTTTAGTATTTTCAAAACATTTATTAATGCCTGCTGAAATTTATATATAGAATGTTAAAAAAAAAACTGTTTTAATGTATATAAATATATCCTACGGCGGTGTTCTATGGAACATCGACGCAGCCAAGAAAAATATGTAATACATAAATGATGTAGTATGACAATTAAAAGCCACTTGCCTTAATTTGCTGGTCAAGCTTTACAAAATAGGGGCGGAGTTTGGCGGGGTTTGGGCTGTGGGGCGTTAGCTCCAAGCTAAATAACAAACAACGAAAACTACTCAGCTAATTAGCAGTGTGAAGCAACCAGCACAATAACAGCAATAAGCCGAATGGAAACCGGTTAATCCACTCATCGTTGTTCTTGCCCCCTAATCTAAAAAATGCGAAAGAAAAAAAGACAAAAAAATTTCGCATTCGTATCGTAATTCGGATCAAACGAACGAAGGGTCATCGTCTTGAATATCGACTAAAATATACAAATACAACAACATGCATGTGCAATAATCACAACATGCTGAGCAAGAGCCACACCGAGAAAAATATTGCAGTCATTCAACAATTTTTATAACCGATTTCTCTTGAACCAAGTATAAAATATATGCATTTATGGCGCGAAACTTTTAATTTGGTTGAGAGACATTAATTTTTGGTTATCTTTTAGCTTAAGGGGAGTCAAGTTTCCAATCAATTGATTTCAATACGCATAATTTAATTTTTCCGTGTGTAAACAGCGTCTGTACACCTATTTAAGCTTATCTGCTGGCAACGGCTCCCGACTGACTCAATCTTGACCAAGTGACCGGCCACAGCGATGCAAGCAACAGTTTCAGATATAGATACAGTATACAGATACCAAGACAGATACAAGCAAGCACAGACGGCAACTCCTACAAACCACAAATACTCGTTTTAGTCATCATCATCGTCATCCGCCTGGTTCCACTTCTTCTTTGCTGGCACTATTTGCTTTTGTCGTTTTATTCTCGTTTTTTCCCCCCAATTTTTGCTTTTGTTTTTGTCTGTCTTTTCTGAGTTCAACTCTTCATGAATCGTGAGTCACTTGAGTACAATGTGATTGTGTATTTATTGATTACTGATCATAAATAAATCAATTTTGTATAGCATTTTTTAATATGCTTTTGTTGTGACAAAAAAAAAATATGTTAATAAATTTTTGTTATTTGTACTTGATTAAATCAAATTTTGTGACACGAAATATTTTCAAATTTTTCATTTAATGTGTGATTTGAATAGAATATATTTAATTCCATGTTTTAAAATATTACAACGAATTACAAAATTTTCAGCGTACTTTTATACATTACAGACAATATATCATTTTTAACTATATTCTTGTGGTAAATTATTTCGTTTAGAAATTTAAAAATTGTTAAAGAAACAAATTGCGTTACACTTTATTAATAAGATTCATAAGTTATATATGTATTTTATTTTGTAGTATATTTTATTATATAAATGTGGTTTTTTATCTTTAATTAATTAATCATGTCTATTCATTTAATAAAAAAATGAATACATTTGCAAAATATTTTACAATTGAGCTTAATTCCTTTCATGCCTTTTGTCTTTGCCATTTAAAACAATAATCACAAATTTCACCAGATCTTGAAATAAAAGTAACAAAAAATGAAATAAAAAAATTCCATCGAGATTTTTATATTCATTTATGTCTTTAACTGAATCAATAAGCGTGTCCAAGACATAATGTGAAGACAAGAATAAATTAAGAACTATGCAAACTGACAAGGTTCTAACTTTTTGGCACACCATAAAAAGAGCGGGAATAAAAAGAACCTTCTAAAGCTGGAGGAGTACAACAAAAGATCATAGAGAATAGAAATGATATTCTTTATTTATTAATTTTATTATTTATGCAGTTATGCATATATCTAATCAGTACAATTATGTAGCAGCACTAAGCAGAAAATACATATAGGCATCTCTATGTATTATCAGGTTAGTAGTAGTACGTAGGTTAATTTTCACTCGTTCATTAGAATAACAACCAAAAGTTATCGTGTCTCGTTGAATGTTTATTTACAAATTTAAACCAAATCGCTGTGAACAAAGTAATTTATTAGTAACAGAATTCACATTAAAACCAATGCATTATGTTTAAATATTGTGTTGTAATCACACGCTTAAATACACACAAAAAGTCACATATGAACATGCATAAATTATGAATCGCAAAAACACAAAACAAGTGCATCATTTACATATATAATATAATATATATATCATATTGACACATATACATTATTTTAAACTTGAATTTGTTCAACATTGTCGGGAAATTAAACTCAAAAATAAAATGTAAAATCCTATTAATTTTGTATGAGCTCATCTCAAAGTTAAATGACTAATTAAAGTCTTCATATAAAATCGAACAGTACGCTGTTAAATACATGCAAGATAAAAACTCGGATGAAATATGTAAAGCTACAATTATGAATCTATAAATCTTTCTTCGTACTCAATTGTTCTTATAAATAATAACATTCAGTCTTGTTCATGATACGATCGATGTGTTTTAATTATTCTCTTTCCGAACTATCTTTTGTGTTATTGTCTGCTGATATGTAAAAACTGGTCCATATTGATAAATAAAATG